ATGTTCTTCTGGATGGCCTCCAGCACTGTGCGTAGGCGCAGCATGTCCCCTGGGTGCAGGAAAGGACGGTCAGATGGCTTGGCCTCCCCTCACCTTGCCCCTGAGCCCCATCTCCTGCCTGCACCGGCTGGGGGACAAACAGCCCCTTCAGCATGGCCAGCCCCTCTGGACGCACACACGGAGGGATGCACAGGGATGCTGGATCAGGCCCTGCAGTCCAACAGCAAAATGGGGTGTCCTCCCCAGGAGGTGACACATCCTACAGCACCCATCCTTGCTCAAGACCATCCTCTCATGGAGAGGATAAAGAACACTGAGTGATCCCAGACACGCTCTGGAGCATTAGCAGACAACTGCAGGCACCTCAATGTGTACCCTGGGCACAACGTTGACAGCTGTAAAGCAGCCTTTTCCTGACAAAGGAGGAGTTTGGGGGAGATGCTCAATGCTGAACGGCTGCAGAAAGGTCAGTTCTCATTTAGGTATCTTAAAAAGAAGAAGAAAAGCTGTTTGCTGCACACGTACTGTCTTGCCCAGTAAGTCCCTTCTCACCGCAAGGCTAGCAAATGCTGGGCCAGGGTCACCTGGCTCAGTCCTGGATGCCCCAGGTCAGGCATGCAGCTCTCATAACCGAGACAGGCTGAGATACCCCCAAAGAAGGGGGTTCCTGGCACAACACCCAGTGACGCTGTGGGACTCCTGCCACAGGAGGCTGCCGGGTGCCAGAAGAATATGTCATGGCATTGGGAGATGGGGCAGGATCTTGGAAGAGAGACCCATCAAGGCGTATTAATATCATGATCCTGTATCTGGCTTAGGAAACCCTCCTGTCAGCCCCTTGTGGGACACAGGGTGGGGAGAGGAACCTTTGGCATGGGTGCAGACCAGAGATCCCAACGTGCCACATCAGGTCCCTCTGCTTTGTTCCAGGTTCATGTTTCTACTCCTAGAGTCTGAGCAGATAACCTCACGCAAAGAAAACCAGTAACGCACAGCAGCATGAAACACCTAGTGCTGCACCTGGGCACACACAGACATCTCGGGTGACTAATAGCTAAAGATATCGCCTTCCACCCACCGCTT